GTCCTGTGGTAGTGTCCAATCAGTCTGACTTGCGGCTTGGACGAGCCCGTTGCAGTCCGTCTTCCAATAGTTGAATATCAGCTTCCGTTGGTTGTAATACAGTAACAACGGTTCTACGCTTGCTACGATGAACTAGTGGTCACAGTTCGCTAGAGATTCTAGGACTCTAATCTCTTTCAGCTTCTGCTCGCAACTCGCTAACATTGGATCCAGACAAGATGCCGAATTTCACCCTTCACTTTAAAAACTTGAAATACAACTTTATGACATGCGTGAATTTTTGCTATTCTTTTGATGTCAGACTGAATATTGCCCGACATATTTTTCCCTCACAAACTGTGGCGTAGTGTACTCGGAAGATCGCGTCGTTTGCTTTTTTTGGCTAACCGTTGTAACGTGCAGCCATACGCCGCTCAGTATACTGAATCTTTCCCATTTAGCAATTTTCCCATGGTTTCCATTGTCTCTTCTGTTTTTTTTAACTTTAATTGCGCATAATTATTTTGCATGGAAGTATTAAGATCACTTAAATGACTGATTGAATTCATTACATCTCGACCCAGTTCATAAATGAACTGGACAATCATTTTGTCCTTCCGAGATTGGCCAGTGTTGCAACTTAAATTCGCCCCATGTTTTATGAGTCCGTGGTTAAGACCGTGGGGCCACTTTGGACGTCCATGACCTTAGACTTTGATATAGCGCGGCTCATTCTTCACTGACTTGGACGTTATTGTTGTGTGGAGGGCAGGGTATACCCAGAGCAGTGCACCAATTAATATGTAGTATTATCAGTTTGAGCTACTCAGTGATTGTATGAAATTAGTTGGGGGGATCTAAATGGTGTCCGTGGTAAGCATTGTTTCGCTTTCTCCGCTCTCACAAGAGTCAAACGGAATACACATTACTAACGGCTCCCAGTAAAGCGAAAAGTTGTCCGGCCCTTTTCCGAACTTGTAATGGCTATCTGAATAGGCACAGATGCGCTACATTTTAACTTGTGGCGTGAATAATCATAGCTATGGCAACTATTTGGGGCCATCGTCGGAGGAGCCACAGGACTTTGAAACCTTATCGTGCTCGCATATGTTACTCTGTTGGTGAGTACTTTCACCTTCCCTTACTAAATCTACCCAATGTACTCGGGGCCAACTAAAAAGCTCTGCATTGCACACAGCACCTCATTGCTTTCCAGACGCTGTTTGTGCTTTTCTTAATCCCTATAACTTGAACAGATGTGTTTGTTCCCTTCTTCCACTCTCCACTTTTCAATTTGTCTCTCTGTCACCGACTTACTATTACCCTGTTTTCGTGATCAGTCACCTGTGCTACTTGTCAGCAACCTACGAATCTTTGTCTCATTCATCTAAAGTGACCTGTATTTGATAGTGTCTATATACCATCGACACTCAATTTCCATTAAGATGCAACTGAACCGTTGTTTTTTCATTCTTAGCTACGCGGCCTTTAGGGCCGCCTATCTCAACTTGCTTAATTGTTGAAAGACAACGAAACTTGGTGCCAATATCTTTCTCATCGATACTGACAGGATATCGCTGTCATTCTCACTAAATTTAGCCAGGAAAGACAACGGTCTGTAAGCCATAAGCTCCGTTCGATTTACTTGGAGTATTAGCCTCACGGATTTTATTTAGTGGCGGGACAGCATCGCACTAGTTCACTGGTTCACTACCACTGCCCCTAAGCCCCTGGTTATCAACCTTCAAACCTGAGCAACCTCTGGCATGATTGATCTTGCAGCTGTTAACCCGGATCTTCAAGGGCTAAGCGGATTTTATTGTGACTACAGCCACACATCCGTGCCTGATCCATTTTCTACCATCCTGTGGATCACAGCATCTAATAAATGGCCCTTGATGCGCTACCTCAGCGAAAAATGACATCCTTGCTGTTTGTTGTGTTTAACCGTAGGCAACGGGATTTGGACCAAGCTGTGAGGTTGTCCAGGAGGGTCTGTAGTTTAGCCGATGATACAATGCTTGGATGATGAATACCAAGGCTTTTGTCGTTCGCATACTTCGGCAAATTAGCTTCTTTAGGGACAGGTGTTGAGGTAACGTAGGTGGAAAAGAAAAGTGGGGACAAAATGGCTCCCTGAGGAGTTCGTGGTGAGGGAAGAGGAGTTTTTCCTATTAGCCTGGTATACTGGGTACGCTTGGTGGAATAATCTTTCAACAGAACTTTGCACAGTAGTTCACGGTTCACACATCCGAAAGCGTTGCTAAAATCCACGAAGCAGATGCGGGTGGATTTGTCTTTATTATCCAGTGACGATAACATAGTATGTACCGCACATGCTATTGCATTTAAGCTAGATCTCGAGCTGCTATATATGTAAACTGATGAGGATCTTCTAAATGCGTCTGGGGTGAGATCCTTCAAATCAATGGACGTGCAAGCGATCAGATGATATTTGCAGCTTCTTTTTTTGGCATTGGCGTGATGCCCGCGCTTCGCCAAATGTCAACTCTCTTATGCTGCTTTAAACACAATGTGTACACGTCGGAAAGATGCTGTGCTGGGTAATCTGCACAGTCCTTGAGAACGACAGGCGATAAGTTACCCGAATCACGTGCTTGGTTTACTTGCAACCTGATATATTCCCTGTGTGCTTTTAGGCTATTTACGAAAGGAGGGTTATCTGAGGCTAGCTGCAATTCAGCAGAGAACATATCAAAGAATGAAGTACGATCCTTGTCACAAAATTTGCAGTTTGTTTTTCCACATCTCAAGTTGGATGCGTGACGTCGTGGGTTACTTCGCCTAACTGTTTCAGCTTATTCCATGTTTCTCGATGATTGTTGTTTCCAAGTATGGTTTGAACGTATATATGGTTTAGGCGATGTAATTCCATCTTATACCAATCGATAGAGGCTTTACTAATGTAACATCTTTACGTTTAAAAACCTTTCCCCGATGGCCTCCTCGCCGACAAGGCTGCGGTCTACATTGCTGTTGCTCTTGTGGCTATCCGAAGCGAACTGTGAATTCACTAGTTAAGGGGAAGGTTTACACCCTTGCAGTTCGAACAGTATTACTGTATGTTTCAAGGACATAGCTACTTTGCATTGAAAATCTCAGGAAACTGTCCGTATTCGGCCACCGTTGCCTATGCATTATTGGTTATGTCTGGTGGGCGCACAATATATCTAAGGCTGAAGTTCATCATATGGTGTTCGGCGGTAGGCTCTCTGTGGACGCATTGAGTTCCTGATTGAACTTTAATCTCTTCCGATAACTCTGGCATGTGCTTCGCATCCCTACAATCCAGCTGCATCAGCGTGGCTTTTTGTGAACATCTCATTGATGTGCTTTGTCAGTGATATAGTAAAAGCGTTGAAGAGACTCACCAAATGCGAAGTCGGATTGGCGCTTGTCATCTTCCTTTGTGTGATCTCCACCATTGGTTAGATTTTTGGCGGATACAGCGCAGCCACCAATTTAGTGTCGTTTTTACCTTCGCTCCTCTATTTATGATTGTTAACTATTCCATCCAACGAATCCACATTTTGTTCATATCTCTCAACTTGTTATCACTTCGGGGGCATGAGTCCAGACACTTAATGTTACGCGTATAACAGTTGCTCAACGGAGCAGTCCGTAATCGTCTGCTGCAAGTTCGATTGCATTGGGAGTATTAGTGTCATTCTGGTGTGATTGTAGGGGCGATTTGTTGCATCCATTTCTCATTACGGAGACTGCAGTCCATTCCTACCTGACTAGGAATTGACTGTAACCTATCTCCTCTACAATCCTTTTTTTGCCTTTGCCATAAAAGTACCGCAATCAGTAGCATCTTACGCCGCCACTCTGCCGTTAACCTTGCGTAACGAAATTGTGAAAGGCCGTTCATTTTTACACTCAGTTTATCTTCTTCCTAACATAATGATTGTGCAATCCGATTCGAACTAGAATAAGATCATTGCAACAAATATCTGGATGATTATTTTGCGCTCATATATTTCAGTCCCATTCGAATTTGGATAGCAGTATTACCTTGACAACGAAACCGGTTTTTGTTTAAGTAGCATACTCGAAAAACTTCATCTTGGAGACTCGACTATTATACGATGAATTTTATGTGACGTTAGCCAAATATTCTGCATGACTGGAGCTCGGTCCCTACATCGCCAGCCACATATCGTCAGTGTGTTCGTCTACGTAACATGCAGGTAACCACGGGCGTACATGGTTTAAATCCTGGTAAACGACCAGCCTAGAGCAATGCTGAAATGCGATGAAATGAGAAATGCGATTACCCCAATATGACGAGTTACAATTGACCGTAATATGCATTGAAAATGGTGTATCGCAGTTTTAAGTAGTAGACTGTCTGGTGACCAGCTGCTTTTGACTTTGGCTCATCATTCACTCTTTCTTTGAAAGGCTTCACGACACTGTGGTGACCGGCCCCTGGTGCATCTGGGCCGGTTGACGTAGATTGCAATGAGCCAGCAGCTCAGCCACTTGGTGGTTAGGTTTCGATTTCGCATGCACTTCCTGAATCCTGTTAAGCTTCCTCCGGTGACCGTTGTTCCCACATCTGTGCTCTCTTAGCCAACGGAATTTCCATGGCAATTGGCCCTTCCTGATGTTGGCCCGAATCAGCTATTACTTGTTTGTCGACTCGTATAGAGTAGAATGCTTGTCAGTGCTTCCTAACTTGCCTTTTGGCTCGTAAAAATGCGTAACAGTTTTTAACTCGTTTTTTTATCGACGCTTCCGCGTTGCGGTTTGCATTATTTCCGGATTATTCTTGTGATCACATCTAATTCTTTGCTTGAAGTAAACATAACCAACGGTATCCAAATTGCATCCGTGACGGACTCACCAGACTCAATTTTGAGTGCACTTCGAAAAATACGTTTTAGAGACCGGGAAATGCACTGTGCTTTTCCACAAACCGGTATAGTCACACACTGTCTACATCATGTCGTCGATCGTATGCTTCGCGCAATGTATTGCTTTCTATATTTTAGATGAAGGAAAGTCCTTGGTTGAGATCAAGCGGGTATGTCCTCTGTCTGTCATGTTTCCAAACCGTTATTATGAATGCTTTTATACATTGTTTTCCAATCTTCGTAGCTTGTCCGGCAGCAAGGTCTTCGTGAATATGCCTCTCGCTTGTTTGACATGATGCGTCGAAGTTCCAGATTGCACTCCATCTGCGAAAGCATTGGTGAGTGTACCGCGATCATACATGTCTTACTCTTGTAGCGCTTTTGCAACCCGAAGTCTTTTCACAGAGGATTCTCTGGGCAGCGAACTAGTGAATGGCAGACTGTCAGTTTGTGTGGCGTTGCATCTGTCACCTAGCAGCGCCCAGGCACATCAGAATTTCAGCTCACGTTACAGACTCCTATACACCTACTGGCACTTTTGCGTTAACACTCTTCTGGTTGGATCTGTGTTTCTTTTCATTTCTGTTTCCCCTACTCTCTGCCGAATTACCGTTTTTGGCGTCTCAATAGCTCCAGCTCACCGTTTCTTGTTGTGAGGCTGTCCTTTGCCCCTCTTCTCTTGGCTGCCGACCCATCCGGGGAAGAAACAAAACACAGCCTGCTATACCGAAGTGTATTAGGAACAGAACACGGTTACTTTTATAAGTCATATGGTCTCACTTCGCCTCTTGTCTAGACAGATTCAACCCTGGTAGCGGCCTTCACTGTTTGGCTTAGTTACGAGTACGTCCGCACCATAGTAACCTGTGCGGCAATGGTGAACTGGCTCCATTAACTGCTCCGGATTGCGCGGCAACTTGTGTCGTGAATGGTGAACTGAGTGGATCATCTTCCCGCGTGATCTACGTCATGCCCGGTTGGTGTCCAGAAGACGTGTCGCGGAGTTCATCCCTTGTGGTCAACTAATACTTCTAAATACATGTCGTGATACGGATCCAGTTTACTGCGCTACGGACTTGTGCGGTATGGTGAAACAGATGATAGTTTACGTTGCTTTGAGTACCGGCTACTTTCCTACTCTTCCTGCTCCGGTACCATTTTCCTCCATTGTCATTATTTGCACTTGTCTGATTTTGCAGTCTCAAGCCAATTGAACTTTCAATTGGCTTTCGCACAGGTCTTTTCTTCTCCTAGTCCTTCGCCATCTCCCATCGGAGTTTATTATATTTATGCCTGTGGATGACAGGAAATCTCAACTGTCACCTTTTTCGTTTGACCTCTTTTGGGGATTCATCACTTAGGGGTTCGGGGATTAAGCATGCGGCGTGTGTGTTTTCATCACGAATCTCCGCTCCCGCATGGCTTCGGGCACTCAGTATCCCAACGCGTGTACAACCGCTTGCGGTCAGACGACGGTGGTGCGTCGGTGCGACCTGCTAACACACTACTGAACATCACTTTTGCCCTGCCTATTCGTCAAAACACATTACCCATGGATACTTGCGTGATGGATATCGCTTGGGGGAGCACGCATCGATGTTCAGTACTTGTTGATTGAATTCGTTCATGAATCGTCCTGTACCAGCTATCTGGCCTTCTGGCGCCTCCGCAATATGTTGCACGCTTTTCCCATCTGATGTCAATTCTGTCTTAGTTGAGGCGCTTCGAATGACCCAACAAATTTGAGTGATCCAGGTTGTCTACGCCCTGATAGGCCCCGGATACTGAGTGACTGACCGCAACACGATTTCGAAAAGGATCTGTGCAACTGTATATGTCTACCTACTACCTTGTCGTCACGAGAGTGAAAACAGCCGTTTGTTTTGTCTACTCTATACTTGCTGTTTGATTCTTTGCTTAACTTGTAACTTAACTTCCACGGAAGGTAACAACATCAACACCAGACTTTCCATCGTTCCCGTGTATTTTCCAATTTTATTTAGTGGTCTGTGGTTGATTCGCGGCGACCACAGCTTACAGATGTTTAATTCAGGACGTGCGTGCTACGCTGCCTTTTACAAGTCTATCTGTACACTGGTTGGATACTTTCTTTGTTTTTCTGCTGGTAGAGCAAGCTGAGCCGACAGCACCGTTTGCACCAGTCACAGTAATCTTTCCAGTGACGAGCGGCAAGAAGCTTCTTGACGGTTTACTTTGATCAAACACAACTAGGCCTATCCACCTGTCGGTCGCACGGAGACAACTGCCTGCGCGCATAGTGTTGACGTGTCATCGTTGTTACTAAACATGAGCGTTGACGTCTTTTATGACCATGGCATCAGCCCTTACAATGGGGTTCAGTCGCCACAGTTATTACCCAATTCCACCTGCTCGTTAATATTTTTCATCCATTCTTTTCGAGGACCGCTTTTGAGTGTGGCGGTCCTTATGCAAACGATTTCATGCACTATCAGAAGCTTCCGATTCTGATCGAATATTAGACATCACATCTGTCTTTTTACTTGTCATGTTGCAATTGTACGAAGCCTTTCTTTTCAAACATTGAATCTTGTGATAAGCTTGCACTTTCACACATATTCATCACTCACTGGCTAATCAAGTTTCATCGTCATGTATTGGTGTAACCTAAAATAATATCACAGATCGACTCGCGTTGAGGCTCGTTGCCTCAGAGACAAGTTTTTACTACGGCCTTTCTTTGATGATGTTTTCCACTGGTGACTGGGCTTATATATTTTCTTGTTATTGTCCTGATTTGTCAGTTTTTTAACTTCTGGCTTCAAGGACGCCAAACATAAGTGGCAGTACTTTAATCGATCATCACTGTTCTGGGTCTTTACTTCTTGTGCCTCATGGGCCTCTCCAGATTCCGCCACCGTTTTTGTGTTCTGCTTTCTTCAACAATCACGTGTCACGATTATACCTTTATATTTTGGGACCATTGGTCTTCAGCTGTCATGTTTTCCCATTTTAAACATCCCTTATTAAAACTAAATTTCATCTATAGACTGATCTTGTTCTTTCTATTGTTATTTCCTTTCGCGGGTATCCTTGGTCCTGTTTGCTTCATCCAACACTGATTTGATCAGTTTATGGTGAGTCGGAGTCCTGATCGGAGCAGTAGTCATTTACCGAACATGCACATCCTCCATAATACTCACGCTTGTCTGCGAACGGTACCTCGTTCATCCACTCTCCACAGCACTCTGGTGGATCTGTCATGCGTTGTGCAACCCCGGGCCGTTCGCGTTAAGATGATAATCCCATTCCATATCCTCCGCGCGATATTGTCTGAAACGTACGCACAGATTTGCATGTGCACGCGCACCCGCATCAGCCGTCGCTAGCCCCCCGATGAACCCACTTAATACCTGAATTTAGCCTTTGGAACCATTTCGCACTCACTAAGTTGACTTATTTGAAGGTCCATTTAGGTGTGAAGCTTCTCGATATACTCACATGCATGTGCTATTCTATTGAATTCCTCCCTGGACTGTAGTATTTAGATTTGTGTCTGCAGACCGCCTATTGCGACGCCGATACTAGCAATTTTCTTGTCCATCGTTTTATCTTGAGGTATTTTTTCTTGAGCCTAGTTTTGGTATAAAGTGCCTGTTCCATCAGTTGGATTGCATGCATTTACCCCACACCATAGGGATTTACCCTTTGGTCGATAACAGCAACTCTTATCCCTCGGATACACTGAATAACTGGAGCATAGACTGGCGCTAACCCTTGAAATGAACGAGGCAGTGGGCGTGGTAACCGGCATCATCCGCTCCTATGCTTACCGGAAGACCTCCGTTTACACTTGAAGCTGCTAGCGTCCAACTTTTTAACACATCATCCTGGTGATGATTAAGTGTCTACGACCACTTTGCCCAGCTCGGTGACAACAGTTCCAGTAACTACATCCATAGGAAAACCATTTCTCAATGTCGTTTTCGACGCGCTTGTCTACCCCGATAGTCTAGCCCTCTTTTAAAGTTTCACTTGACCTTTCTTTGCCTGTAGAGGGAAATTCACTAGTTAACCGTTGGTCAGCCTCTCTCCATGGATCTCATTTGTATGGATTTAACAAGATACACTTATAATCATTGCACCCCAGTCCTTTACTATTTAGAATTGTGTGCGAAGCTGTACTCTGTGACTTCACTTGCCCATACCTCTTTTTCTGTTCACTTTTTCTAAAAATACAGCTGAACCTTTGATACAACAAGCCACATTTAGCCTCATCGTAGATGAAGCCAAGGAGGCGTTTGCTGATGCTTGGTTGGCTTACCAGGAGAGCGCCGATCGTGAATTGCAGCGGTTGCATCCTATCTTTTATCACATTACCGAGTGGCGGTCCAAACGTATGGCGAGGTTGCGCAAACGCTACCTAGAGGTTAGTTGCTTTCTTTCTTCCTTCCTCGACGGATGGCGCTAAGTGATTTCAGTTTATTATTGACAGACACATGCTTGATATATCAGAAAGCCTCTTTTTCCCTCATATTTCGCTCCAACTCTGTCACTGCAGAACCATTTCACATTCTCAAATACCACTCGTCCAGGTTTACCGTTGAGGTGTTGCTATGCTCCCCAAAGTGGCCAATTTAGTTGTTTCATCTGCTTCGTGTGCAAATAAGCATTCACGTGTGACGTCTGCTCACTGGGGATGTCATTACGATTGGTGACAAAAGATATAACACCAAATTACTCAGCTTAGCCAATCGCCACCGGAATATCCTTCCCATTTTCACTTGTACACCCGTTATTTTATTCCCAGAGCATGCTGAGCACAACTTGTGTGCGGCGTTTTCTCTCTTCCCTCTTACCATTTCAAAAACAGTACTTTCATAGTCCAACACTTAATGTATGCTTAATGACATGTGAGTTTTTAGTTTTATATTTGTGCCGCAGTAGAACAAGCCGTTAAGTCATATGTGAATTTTTCATCTTCTGCTCTGGCCTGGCTCGCAGGGAATCGGTTTCGAGGTTGCTGGCCAAAGTGAGGAACAACTCAGTTTTATGGTTGCCATCAAATGGCTTGTGTGTGTGTGTGTGTGGTGCAACAATGCCGCATGTACCCACGGATCTTACTGATGGCACTGTCGCTACTACCACATTTACCGTTATCCATGTTATCCTATCATTTTGCCAACATAACATTATACATAGGATTTAGAGAGTAGTAGGAGGGCTACTTTGATTTGTGAAGATCCGTCGCAACTAGACTCAGCCAGGCAGCCACCGTACATTTAGGATAATGCTATCTAAGTAAGATGTGCACATAACATTTTTGTGCTGAGTCTAACTGGTGGCCTTACATCGAACGAAACATGCCTTGACCTATCTAAAAAATGGTGCTACCTTCTGTATACATCACATTGTGTCCCCGCTATCATACAAATATGCCCTGGTGTCCTCTTCCAATTCGTTCCGCAAGTAAATTCGGATTGGCAATGCGCGACCTTAGGAAGTCGTTTAGCAACAAACATCGCAGTTTCTCTACTTGTTTCTTGCAAAAACGCTGTATCTTTCGCTTTCCTTAGTCTTCTGATGGTCGTACTTTAAATTTTTCCCTTTGTGCTTTTCTTCATCAAGCTTTCACTCACTTTGGTTGGAGGCAAAATCATCTAGGGCCACCTTTTCTGGCCGTTCGATGGATGACAGCGAAGTCATTATTATCCCCTATTACACACTTTGTGATGACAGAGTTTTAAATCTAAGCCACTTCGACTAACAGTGGAACATAGACATACGCCCAGGCTGCTGTTTACCGCCATAAATCGCGAATCAACTAA